CACACACACACACACACGCACACACACACACACACACACACACACACACACACACAAGCATTCAAGGACGGAAGTTGTTGGAGGAGGGGGAGGGGGGTTGGCAAATGGCATCAGAGAAACGCGCAGTGATGCTGGAAAAGGGGGAGGGGGGTCCAACCAAAACGCAACAGCAAAGCAAGACCAAGCAGAGAGACACAGCACACAGGGCAGTGGCACAGCGATGCAGGTGCGCTGTGGTGACGTGAGCACGACCGCAATGATGACTACAACGATTGAAAATAAGACGACGATGACGACGACTTACGGCGGCTTCCTCCTCGGTCTCGACGACAAATGGCTCTGTCAGCTTCTCCTTGGCCAACTCAACAAAGTTGCTGAAGGGCTGCACGCGTACACGCAGTGTGTGTGTGTGTGTGTGTGTGTGTGTGTGTGAAATAGTGCAGGTCGTGCCGAAAAGGTGTCATGTTCATGCATTCAACAAAATACCCAACCTCAACCCTTGCCCCACCACCCACACCCACACTCACACCCGCACCCACACCGACAAGACACACGAACGAACCGGGGCCTGGCGGGCAAACTGGAGGTAGAGCTCGTCCAGGTGGCGGGCGTTGGCCTCGGCCTCGGAGAGCTTCGTCTGCCGCTCCTGCGTCAGCTGCACAAGGTGCTGCCAGTTCTCGTAGATGGTCTGCACACAAATGCGCCGCGTGGCGTTGGAGTTAGTGGTGATGTGAGAACGGAAGGGAAGACGCTGAGCAGAGGCAGAGGCAAAGGCAGGGGCAGGGGCAGGGGCAGAGGCAATTGCAATTGCGCATGTGAGTGCGCACGCCCGCGAGCGTGTGCGTGTGTTGTGTTGGCTTACGGCGTAGCGGTCGTTGACGGCGTCTGCGTTGACGTACTTGAGGTCGTCCAGCTCGTTGGCAAGCGTGCCAATCTCGTGCACGCGCTGCTCGTGTGCCGTCAGGTCGGACTGAAACGCCTCGTGCTTCTTCATCAGGGCAGACACCGTCGCCAGGTTGACGCCCGTGTAGTCGTCCGCAGACAGCATCGCGTTCTTGCCGCTCGTCCACGCCTGGTACAGGGCACAAGGGCCGGGGGAGGGGAGAGCAGTTTAGAGGGAGGGAGGTTGCGTATGACATGGAAGAGTGAACACAAAGTGCGCAGTTGAGTGTGCAGCAACACAATGCGCAAGAAAATCATTCATTCCAATGCAACGCAGGTCACACAGACACGCAGACACGTAGACACACACACACGCAGACACACGCACAGACACAGACACACACACCAATGACCCCAGCCCCCCCCCCAAATGTGCACATCCTTGTGTCTTTGCACACCACGCACCTCGTGGGCCTCAGCCTTGCTTGTAAAGAGGGCAGCCTTTGCTTCGGCCTGGCGCACGCGCTTGAGCTCGTCGATCACCCACTGCAGGTGGCTCTGGTCAGCCTCCTCCATCTCCGTCCACGCCGCAGTGATGTCGGCAATCTCCTTGCTCTCCGACGCAACAAACGGTGGGCGGCCAGAGAGGCGCAGCTTCGTCTGCAGCGTGCTGTAGTGCTCCTCCAACTTGGCCCGCTCCTCAAGCTTGCCCGGCAGCTCGGACGACCGGAAGTTGTTGAGTGTCTCCAGCTTGTCCTGGCACGTCTGCACGTCGTTGATGGCTGGTCGCTCGACGAGCCAGGCGATGGTCTTCTGGATCCACTCCAGCAGCGCCGTTGCCATGGTCTCGTACTCGGCAATCAGCCGCTCGTGCTCCCGGTTCGTCTCAAGCACCGTCGCAATCTTCTTCGCAGCAACCTCGGCCTGCCAGGCGTCAAATGTGTGTGTGTGTGTGTGTGTGTGTATGATTGGTGAGAAAGCGAGTGAGCAACATGTTAGGTTTGAGGACAGCAAGAGCGGTGTGCATTGTGCAGGGTGAGCGAGCTGCCACTTCATATCACAATAACAGCAGCAGTGATTGACACAGCACCTGGTTGAAGCTGGCAAAGCACTTGTAGTACGCGGCGACATATGTCATGATGGAGCGCTCGTCGGGCTTGATGCAGTTGACCATGTCTGAACGAGCAGCAGCAGCAGCAGCAGCAGCAGCAGCAGCAAGCAGAGAGTGCATGGTACCAGTGAGTACATGGGTTACAGAAGGCACGCAAATGAACTGCTTCCAGACACCACACACAGAGACGCACAGACGCACACGCACACACACAGACACACACACACACACAGACACACACACACAGCAGGCATCAGCAGAGTGCATGGAGGTGGCGGACCTTCGACGTCGAGGAACTTTGGGATGTTGAGCTCCTTCTCGGCAACCTCAAACGCCGTCGTCAGGTTCTCCCGCGGGTTGCTCTGGACAAACACAACACACATACACGCAAGGGGGCAGGGGCAGGGGTAGGTGAATGTGAGTGCGCATGTGCATGTGTATGTGAGGTTGTGAGAAAGGATGCGAGTGAGTGGGCATTGCGCACGTGCTGTTTGCTGCGTCAGAATGACACATGATCCTCAACTGAGACACGACAGCATCAAAACAACCCAAATATATCTCCGGCATCTCGTGCCATCCCTATTTCACACGCCACGTGACACGCCTGCACTGCAAACCTTGCTGAGCTTGTCGTAGTCGATGAGGTCTGGGCGGTGGCGATGGATAAGCGCGCAAAAGGCGAGGCCGTCCTTCCAGCTCATGTGGAAGTTCTGCACCTCCACATTCGAGTACGGCTCGGTCTTGCGCTGGCACCACAGCAGAAGCGCATCCTTGGCGTTCAGCTCTGCTCACGCGCGTATGTACACGTTTGTTGTTGTTGTTGTTGTTGTTGTTGTTGTTGTTGTTGTTGTTGTTGTTGTTGTTGTTGTGGATGGAACAATGGTGTGGGTGAGGACAGGGAGTGATCGAAGGAAACACAGCGTTGGTAGCTGATGCCAGAGCACACGCACACACGCACACACGCACACGCACGCACACGTGCAAGGCAATTAGCGATGACGCACGGTCTTCGGAGATGTCCTGGATCTCGAAGCGAAGGATGAGCATCCAGATGAGGCCAAGGATCATCTTGAGGTTCGAGTCAACAACCTCTGTTGGCGATGAGCACGGCCAGGGCAAGCAGTCAGCCACACAGCGATCATGAGTCAAATGACGGGGGCAGGCACTGGCAGTCATCCACAAGAAATGAAGATCAAGAACAAGCACAACAACAAGAACAGCAACAAGAACAAAAACAACCAACCTTCTGGGCCGATGGAGCTGACGTCGACCTTCTTCTCCTGGATGAACTTCATGGCCTTGCCAACGTTCTCCACATGGTGGATCTACACGCCAAATGTGTGTGTGTGTGTGTGTGTGTGCAAACATGAGAAGGTAAGCGGTGAAGAAGAGTTGCACAACAACGCAACACGACACTAGGCCCTCAGGTAGGGAACAAAACCAGAGAGGTGACTGTGACAAATTCAAATGCGTTTGCCGTTTGACCCCTGGCGCTCATGCACAAAACCGCACTCGCGCACGCACGCAGAGGACACTCACCCGCATGGTGCCGCGGCTGGGCTTTGGCAGAGCCTCGTCGGAGATGATCTCGAGAAGGGCGAGGAGGTTGCGGCCATCGGAAAGGTCCTTGGCCACATCCTTCACCTCCAAGTTGCGCTTGCGCAGGTGGCTGTTGATCCAGGCAGTAAATGTCTGATCAACGGAACGACACAGTTGAACAACAATGTTGAAAACACTGTGAGAAACAAACAATGCACTGCAAGTGGGTGGCGGCACGCGGCAGATCACATATGAAAAACCTCCCCAGCACAAACACAAAACAAGACGACAGAAATCCAAAACCACAACCGAGCATGCCACTGTTCCCGCAACCACATCACACACACACACACACACACACACACCTTCTGCTGCTGGCGCTCCCATTCGTCGTTGAGCTTGCTGGGCTCGGGCTCACGCTCGGGTGGGGTGGACATGGTTGCGGTTTAGCGTGCTTCCTTTGCTTGAGCTGGAAAGTTGCAAGATGAGATGCAAGTACAAAAGCGGCTCCTGTTGCGCGGATGGAAGCGATCGTGTCGATCGATCAAGCACGTACGAGTGCGAGAAGGGAGGGAAGGAGGATAAGTGAATGTCGTCAGATCATAAAAGAGGAGCAGACAAGCTCGAGGTGGCTTCGTGTACGTGCGCGTGCGAATGTTTGTGTGTGTGTGCGTGTGTGAACGTGAATGTATGTGTGTGAATGTGAATGTGTGTGTGTATGTCTATTCTCAATGGTATCCACATATCACACCGCAAATTATGAGCAAAGCAAAAACAATTCCGCACGAGCAGTGCTTGTCGAACATGCATACATGGATGCATGAACCGAATAGTAAACAAACACACACAAAAAAAGAAACCACACACACCCACAACTCATCTCAGCAAACTCGGCCTCCCTCCTTGCAGCCTGGCACAGCCTCGACCACAACCCACTCCCATGAAGTACACCTCTTCAACCGCTGTCCTCTCCCAGCAAGCAAGCAAGCAAGCACAGCTGGGCTTGTCACTCGCTCCAGCTCACCCTCCTTCGCCTTGCTCACTCACACTTGTGCGCTGATTCGTTCGTTGGTGGACTGGATGTTCGTTGCAAGTTTTTGGTCAGCAGTGCCAGCGAGATGCCAATTTGGACGACGAAAATAAATAACCTTGGCTCGAAAATTCTTGAAAGATTTCAACATGACCTACACCTAGGTCCTCAATGGCATAGATATAGTACAACATAGGCTTGGTTTGTTGTGTGTTGTTGTTGGGAAGGAAGAAGGACAAGCCAAACGAACAAGAAAGCCAAAGCACTAAGCCAAACACCAACCCCAACCCATCTGCACGCCGCAACCAACCAACTGAGCAGGACCAGTGCGAATCGGGGAGTGGAGGGTAAGTTTCTTCTTTCCTTGCCACATCGTTCTACCTACTCGCAGGAGCAGCGAGAGGTGTGAGTGGGCCAAGAAAGCAAGCAAGGTGGGTGAGGCAAGGCACGACACACCATTCACACTCTGACGTCAGAGGCATTTGTCTCGTGTTTGGCGGTACAGGTGACACCAAACAAACACTGCCACCGACCTGCTTTTCTTTGTTTGTTAGCTGAGGGCTTGGCAACATTCACATCATGTCACAATCGCTCACTCAACGTCACATCGCTCACTCCTTCCTCTCGCTGCAGTCACGGCCGCCGCTGCTGCTGTGGCGTGAAACGTGTTGGGTAGCGCCAGCAGCGCACAAGTGACACCCGTGTCATCGGAATTCAACCAAGAAGGTGTGTTGTGTTGTGTTGTGTTGTGTTGTGTTGTGTTGTGTTGTGTTGGGATGTGTTGCGTTGTGGTGTGTTGTGGTGTGTTGTGGTGTGTTGGGGTGCCAGGCAGACCAACCAACCCACCAACCAAGCCAAGCCGCCGCACCCAAACAATGCGCGCTCCCAATCACCGCCGTCATTGTTCTTGTCCTCTTGCTTCAGCTTCATTTGCTTGCATTATCGACGGTGCATGCGTGTGTGTGCATTGCGTGCTCGGGCCATTCACCGACGACTTACAGCTGCATCCTTCGTCTTTCTCCCCAGCCAGACAAGCAGATAGACTTTAAGCAAGCTTGCAGCAGCATCAGCAGCAGCAGCAGCAGCAGCAGCAGCAGCAGCACACGACGACTGCGACCATGATGAGCAACATGGGCCAGCAGCTGCCCCTGACGGAGACAAGCAGCAAGCTGCAACGCGGCACCGGAAGAAAAAGCATCTTGCCCACACCCCGAGCCATCCCTGGCTACCAAGGACATGTTCACGGCCTTAGGGTGCGCAGACGTGGATGTGTGTCGTGGGATCATTTATCCGTGCGTGCATGTGTGTGCGTGCGTGCGTGCATGTGTGCGTACGTGCGTGTGTGTGTGCGTGTGCGTTGCTGTACGTGTATGCTCATATCTCCCTTTCTTGCACAACCCTGTTCTCACACCCTTGTCTCACTCACTCACTCACTCACTCACTCACTCACTCACTCACTCACCCTCTCTCTCTCCCACTCCCCTATCCTCTCCTCTGTGCCTCCTTTGTAACCAGGACTACGATCCTGGCCGGCGGTTTGGCTCAAGCTCGTCCCATTTGCTGGCCACGCGTGCACAGGAGCAAACCGGCCGCAAGCACCAAGACCAGAGCAAGACAGTACCCACGCGGTTCTTGAAGTTTTCGCGGCCGTCTCGGCCGGCCGTGCCCATGCTGGACGTGAGCAAGGCCTCATCCTCGGCCCTCGCCAGCCTGCCATCGGAACAGCTGCAGGAAATCACCCTTGCCCAGCGCGAAGAAAGGTACATGCGTGTGTTTATGTGTGTTTGTGTGCATGTGTGCATGTGTGTATATGTGTGTGTTCATGTGTTCATGTGTGTTTGCATGTGTGTGCATGTGTGCATGTGTTCATGTGTGTGTGTATGTGTGTATGCGTGCATGTGTGTGTGTGTGTGTGTGTGTGTGTGTGTGTGTGTGTGTGTGTGTGTGTGTGTGCCTCCGGCTGACATCACCTCTTTCTACAATGTGGTCTCATCAAGCACGTCAACCCTGCTCCACACACACACACACACACACACACATACACACATACACACATGCACACACACACACACATACACACATACACACATACACACATACACACATACACACATACACACACACGCACACACACAAAACCTCCCCCGCCCCTTGCCGTTTCACAGCCGCGACTGTGCGTATCGAGGCAACATGGTGCCCGGATACAGCGGGCATGTTCCTCGACTGCGTGATCGTGTGGCGCAGCCCTTTGGCAACGCCACCGCAGACGCCATCTCTGACTTTGACAAGCACCGCGTGCGCACACGCGCGCGTCAGCAGTTTTCGCGCTCTGCACCCTTGAAGCAGCCCCTGCAAGCCAGCCACCGCGAGACGAGAAGCGCAGAGGCGCTGGCGTTCGAGTCCAACAAAAACCTGTCCTCGTACAACGCAGCATTCACGGAGCGCACGCCGTACAGCCGCAAGGCGGGTGCCATCCCAGGCACGACGGTGCATGTTCCCTTCCAGCAGCACACGTCCCTTGGCCGCACATACCAGGAGGCTGTGAAGGAGAGCGCCAAGGCCCTCCGTGCCAGCCGTCCCGGCTCGCACTACAGCTCCAGAGACGCCACCCTCTCCCAAATAGCCCGGTGTGTCATGCTTGTGCGTTTGTGCGTGTGTGCATATATATGTGTGTACGTGTGTATGTGTAGGTGTGCATGTATGTGTATGTGCATGTATGTGCATGTATGTGTGTGTCCGTACGTGCGCGCGTGTGTGTATGCATGTGTGTGTATGCATGCATATGTGTGTGTGTGTGTCAAAAAGTGACACAGGCAGAGGAGAGAGAACCCGCACACTGCGTGGGCGTGTCCATATTTTGTTTTGTGTGCCCCACACGTCTTGTTTCAACTTGTAACCCCTGCCCCCACCAACACCCTATTCGTTTATCATGCACGTGCAGTGCACGTCAGCACCCGCCGGCCGCGCCGCAGAACAAGCCCATGTATACGCATGTGGAGAAGCGAGACTTTGTGGTGTCTCCCCGCTTTGGCTTTCACGCCAAGTGAAAGGCAACACACACATGCCATGGACAGGAGTGCTGCCACCGCCCGTTCTTTTGGTTTCCACTCCTCCCCTATCTTGTTGTCCTCCTGACGGTGGTCCCACAATCAAGTACTTTGTCAATACCCTCTTTTCTTCAAAGTTCACCTGTCACACAGACTTGATGCACTGCGACTGTACTTCCTATCAAGGTTTGGCTTTCTGACAACCTACCACTACCGCCACCACCACCACCACAGCCACCACAAGCACAGCCACCACAATCACTTCTCTGTGTCGTTCTCTCTGAGCACAAGTTGTGCGCTGCTTGTCGACCCCTTCCCCACCACTTGCTGTTTAATGTTTCATTTATCACGTACCTACTACTCTCCAGCTTTGCTACTGTTTGAGGTTTGCTTTTTCTCTTGCGTGGTTCTGTCTCCCTCGCGTTGGTGTTGCTGTTTCTCTTCCTGCTTCACATCGCATGTCACACCACATCAGACATCACATCACGACCTTACGTTTTGTTGTGTGGGAGTTCTTTCTTTTTCTTACTATTCAACTGCTTTCGTTGTTTGTGCTCTATGTTTCTCCTGTCTTTCCATGCCTCACACAAGCCACCACACCGTGCCAAGAGCAAGCAAGCCACTGTCACAACAGACCTTGCGAACCACGCACCAGTGTGATGTGAGATGTGATGATTGTGACAATCAAAAAGACCACAAGCCACACGCAAACCAAGCGCACTCTGCGGATGATTGGTCATATGTTCAACAAATATTCTGGACTGACGACTCTGCTTGCATCAATCCAAACCACTGCATTCTCCACAACCAACAACGAAAGAAACCACCCACTGCATCCAACAACCACAGCAAACCACCACCAAGCATCTCACCCTGCGCATTCGACCGCAAGCACACGAGCCAAGTGTTGTTGGTCTTGTGATCATGGCGCATGTGGCCACACCAGCGGATGTGCCAGTGACAGCGGACCTCGTGGACACAAACAACAAGACTACACCTGAAATCAACACGACCGGCGTGTCTGCGGAGTTCTTGGAGGTGTTTCTGCGGGACCTGCAATCAACCCAAGGCGCTCGGTACTACGACTTGACCACAAAGGATGTGTGCGATCTGGTCGTGATCCCAAGGACAAAGGCCAACAAGCAGGCCTATGTTGATTTGGTGAAGCATGACAACCCACAGTACCTCGGCAAGGCCAACGCGTTTGTTTCGCACGCGTGGAAGTACAAGATTGTCGATGTGGTGGGCACACTGCTCGAGTTTGCCAAGGAGCACCCGAACACCTTCTTTTGGTTTGATCTCTTCATCAACAACCAAAACATCGCCGCTGATCTCCCGCAGGACTGGTGCGTTTTTGCATGTGCGTGTGCATGTGTGCACGTGTGCATGTGTGCATGTGTGCTTTGGAATGTACATCAAAGATGACTGCTCGTGTCAAATCTCTCTCTGTCTCTCTAACAGTACACACACACTCATACACGCACGCACACACACACATACACATACACACACATACACACACACACACATACGCACACACACATACGCACACACACACAAACACAAACACACATACACACACACACATGCAGGTGGAGCACAACATTCAAGGACTCCATTGCGCAGATTGGGCGGGTGGTGTTGGTGCTGACGCCATGGAATGACCCCATCCCACTCACCAGGGCGTGGTGCCTGTGGGAAATCTTCTGCTCGCTGAGCCAAGAGAACGTGGAGCTGAGCATCCAGTTGCCGCACGTGCAGCGTGAGGCGCTCAAGGGCGCCGTCATGACCAACTTCAACGCCGTGATGGACACGCTCGTGCGCGTGCAGGCGGAACGCGCCGAGGCGTGGAACCCAAAGGACAAGGAGATGATCTTCAAGGCCATCGAGGAAGGCGTTGGCTTTGCCACCCTCAACGAGAAGGTCAAGGACCAGATGCGCGTGTGGTGCCTCGATCGCGTCCGCGAGTTTGTCAAGGAGATGGAAGGCAGCTCGCAGCGGCTGACGATGCCGTTTGGCACGCTCTGCTACAGCGCAGGCGTGATTATGACCAACTTTGGCAAGCTCGACGAGGCAATTGAGCTCATCACCAAAGGCATGGAGATTGCCAAGGCCGTCATGGGCGAGGACAGCCCCGGCGTGAGTGAGTGCCAGGTGGCTCTGGGCAACGTGTACATGGCCAAGGGCCAGTTTGACCGCGCAATTGAGTACATGACGCAAGCGCGCGACGCCCGCATCAAGCTGTTTGGCGGGCGCAAGCACCCTGGGGTTGCGCAGGCACTCATGGGCCTCGGCAACATCAGCACGCAGAGCGGCAAGCCGCAGCAGGCAGCGGAGTACTACGAACAGGCGCGTGACATTGCCATGGCAACGCTCGGGCCCAAGAGCCCCGGTGCCGCTGATGCAATTAACAACGTCGGCATTGCCGCACAGCAGCTGGCGCAGTTTGATAAGGCTATCAAGTGCTTCAACCAGGCGCTGGAGATCAAGCTGGAGGCATATGGGGAGCACCACCCCAGCGTGGCCGACACCCTGAACAACCTTGGCGAAGCATACCGAAACTCTGCGCAGCTTGCGGAAGCCCTCAAGTGCTACAAGCGCGCCTTGGACATCAAGACGGGCACCCTTGGCGCCATGCACAGCATCACAGGTGTGTATGTTTGTGTGTGTGTGTGTGCTTGATCGTGCGTGTGTATGTTTGTGTGTGTGTGTGTGTGTGCTTGATCGTGCGTGTGTATGTTTGTGCGTGTGTGTGCTTGGATCGTGCGTGCGTGCATGTGTGTGTGCATGTGCGTGGCATGTTTGCGCTCTTGCATGCGCTCACTAGTTTCCCTCGCGTGTTCACTTGCCCTCGTCGTCCCCCGTGTTGTCATCGCACCGTTTTAGGCGATACGCTGTCGAACATGGGCATCCTCTACACCATGATGCAAGATCTACCAAAGGCCGTTGAAACGTTTGAGCGCGTGCTCGCTATTCGTCTCCGCGCAAATGGCGAGAACCACATCCACACCGTAAGCCCACAGCCACCCTTTGCGTGTGTGCATGTGTGTGTGTGCGTGTGTGTGTGCGTGTGTGTGTGTGTGTGTGTGTGTGTGTGTGTGTGTGTGTGTGTGTGTGTGTGTGTGTGTGTGTGTGTGTGTGTGTGTGTGTGTGTGTGTGTTAGTGGTCTGGGAGTCTCCGTAACTGTGCGCGAGTCGCTAATGTAGTCTTCCCACCAACACCCAACAATCAACGCACAACACACACACACACACACACACACACACACACACACACACAATATCTCTTTCTCTGGTTAGGGCTTGGCATACAATGATCTCGGGGAGTGCTACCGTGAGGGTGGGGATCCCATCAGCGCGCAGAAGTATCTTGAAAAGGCGCTGGAGATTGAGCTGAGGACCGTTGGCGAAGCACACCCGGCGGTCGTCAACACGCTCTCCAACCTCGGCCTGGTGTACGGCATCACGGGCGACATTGAGCGGGCCATCGAGTACCAGCAGCGCGCACTGCACTTGCAGATTCGCCTCCTTGGGGAGCGCCACCCCCAGACGGCGGACGCGTACACACGCTTGGCAAACGCGCTCCTCACGGCTGGGCGCACCATGGAGGCGGTGGACATGCTGACAAAGGCGCGCAACGTCGCCAGCGACCTGCATGGCGCCGAGCACCCGCGCACGCTGTACATCACAGCCAACCTGGGGCAGGCCCTGAACCAGATGGGCGACTACAAGAACGCGCTTGAGCTGCTGACTAAGGCCAAGGACGCGGCAACAAAAGGCGGCACGGGGGATGGGGCCGTGGTTGGCGTCGCTGCTCCAATCTTCGTCGCACTCGGGCAGGTGTACCAGGCCAAGGGCAACTACCCGGAGGCTGTCGAGGCGTACGCGCGTGCCCGCGAGCTGTGGGCGTCCAAGTTTGGGCCGGAGAGCGTGGTGACGCTGCAGGCGGTGGCGAGCCTGGCGCACGTCCACGCGGAAATGAGGGACTTTGACGAGACAATCAAGCTGTTCAACGTGGCACTGGATGGCCTGCAGAAGCAGCAGAAGGAGGAGCAGGCGAAGCTGATCAAGAAGCAGCAGCTGCACGTGCAGCAGCAGCTGAAGGAGCACGCCGGCAGTGCGGAGGCCGGCATGGGCGCGGGCACGGGCGATGCTGCCTCGCTCGGTGTTGGCGGCGGCGGTGTTGGGCGTGACGGCGATAGCAGCGTGGCGATGCACATTGGCCAGACGTACGCGGCGCTGGCAGAGGCATACGACGAGAAGGGCGACTACGCGGTTGCTGCCGACATGGCTGAGAAGGCAAGCGCGATGTTCAGGGAGGTGGTGGGCCCGACGAACAAGCAGACGCTGCGGGCGGATGCGGGAAGGGCACTGGCGCTTTCGCAGCTGGACAGCGAGGAGGAGAAGCAGAAGGGGCTGGCGCTGGCAAAGGAGGTGGTGTCGGCGCTGGTGGCCACGTTTGGCGAGAACAACGCGGAGACAGCGGAGGCGTACTCGACGCTGGGGCGCGTGTACCGGCACCTGGGCGACAGCGCGCACGCCATTGAGTGGTGCAAGAAGGCGGTGGAGCAGCGCAAGCAGCTGATGGGCGGGGACAGCCCGCTGGTGCTGCCGCTGTACCACATGCTTGGCAAGGCGTACGAGAGCGCGGGCGACTTGGAGGCGGCGCGAGGGCAGTACATGCTGGCGCGCGGGATTGCCGCGCTCAAGGTGGCGGAGCGGCACGTGCTCCGGCGCAAGCTGGAGGAAGATCTCACGCGCGTGCGCCGGGCGCTTGGCGAGGACGTGGAGGAGGAGAAGGAGGAGGAGAAGGAGGAGGAGGCACACAAGGGACAAAGCAGGAAGGAGAAGAGGGAGGAGCACCGACGCGAACGGCGGCAGCACAATGACGAGAAGAAGGAGCACAAGAGGGAGGAGAAGGAGAGGAAGAAGAGGGAGAAGCATGAGGAGAAGGAAAGGAGAAAGGCAGAGAAGCAGCAGAAGAAGAAAGAGAAACACGAGAGGAAGCGAGGAGAAGAAGACACTCGGGGCCGCCACTCAAAGTCCTGCACCATTGCTTGACTTGCTTGACTTGCTTGCTTGACTGTTGCCGTTACTTTGCTTGTGCTTGAGACTGTTTGTTACTTGATGTGAGCTGTGTGGGTTGTGTCACCATCGCCGCGTCTTTGCGTTGCATTCATCAAAATCAAAAGCCGCAAGAAGCAAGCAAGACAGCTGCAACGATGGTGTTGAATGCAACAACGGCTTTGCTGCGCAGGTGCGCTGTGGTGGCTATGGGCTGCGGCTGTGCAGCTGCGGCTTCCTTCGTGAGCAAGAGCGATAAGAGCAGCCAAAGCGAGGTGTCTGTGACCGCTGCTTCGGCGATCACATCGCGGCAGCAGCAGCGACAGCCTCAACGCCACGTGGTTGCTGCGCGTGTGGACGAGAAAGGCTTTGCCGATGCACAGACCCAGGACAGTGACACGCTGGTGGTGGATCCCAACTCCCGGCTTGTGCACCCACGCACCGTGACTGTGAACGAGAAGCACACGCTTGTGGCTGCTGGCACGCGCATGGTCACCTTCCTTCGGTACTACGTCTATTCTGCAGCCATCTACCTGCCCACAGATCACGCCGCGCGCATCCGCTCCATGGCTCGCGTTGCCGCCGCTGCGCAGCTGCCCCACGACCAGACCGAGGAGCGTGCCGCCGTTGTCGCGTCGATCCAGGACATTCACATGCCCAAGGTCATCCGTGTCGCCCCTTACAGAAAAGCAGGTTCGTCTTTTGTCCATGTGCTTTCGTGTGTGTGTGTGTGTGTGTGCTTTTGTGTGTGTGTGTGTGTGTGTGTGTGTGTGTGTGTGTGTGTGTGTGTGTGTGTGTGTGTGTGTGTGTGTGTGTGTGTGTGTGTGTGTGTGTGTGTGCGTGCGTGCGTGTGTGTGTGTGTGTGTGTGTGTGTGTGTGTGTGTGTGTGTGACCGCGCCATGCAGCCTGCACGATCTGTGCCTGCTGCTCGTTGTCTGTGTCTCGTTCAGCCCCCCCCCTCTCTCTCTCTCTCTCTCTCTCTGTGTGTGTGTGTCACTCTCTGTGTGTGTGTCTCTCTGTCTCTGTCTCTGTCTCTGTCTGTCTGTCTCTCTGTCTGTCTCTCTCTCTCTCTGTCTCTCTCTCTCGATCTCTCTCTCTCTCTCTCTCGATCTCTGTCTCGTGGTGTGGTGAGTTGGTGCTTCTCACAGTCACGTGTGTTGCTCAAACACGTGCAGCGTTCTCGCATTTGCGCGATGGGTTCGGGCGGGCGCTGGACGCGCGTGCGAGGGCCATTGTCAAGGACGCACCCGAGAAGCAGGCGCAGCTGCAAGAAGAGATCAGCACCTTCAAGCAACTCTTCCCACGCGGCGACCTGCAACTCGGCGAAGAGCTGCTCATGGTCTTCAGAGGCGACCGCGTCACTCTCCAGCACCAGGTGTTGTAGCTGTGCACTCGAAGATGCATACTTCCCTGGTTGCCTGTGTTGAGGCGTGCCTTTCCTGCACTGCTCCACAACGCAATAGCCGCGTACATTCTCGCTTGTGCTCATGCTTGCGTGCTCATGCTCGTGCACATGCTCTTGCATGCTGCATCCGCTCACACACTTGTTGTTTGTATGTGTGCAGGGCCGTGACCTCGGCAGCATGCATTCCACGTTTGTCGGCTCTGCCTTGATTGAGGCATATCTTGGAAAGGATTCTGTCAACCCAGCGCTTCGTGGCGACTTCTGGAACCGCTCCCAGCAGTAGCGAGATGTGTGTGTGTGTGTGTGTGTGCGTGCGTGCGTGTGTGTGTGTACCTCGTTCTCTGTCCTTCGTCGTCGTTTGGCTGTGTGCTTCGTTGCTCTGTCCTCCGACTCGGTTCTGGCTGGCTGGTTGTCGTTGTTCTGGTGTATGGACGATGGTGTGTCGTGCGATGGGCCATTCCCAATGTCATAGACACAAACGAACACAAGACAAAAGGTCAACACGAAACATAGAAGAAGAGACAGTGGGCGAGCAAGCACGACATAAGAACGCAAGACAAAGCAACAGAAAGGAACAACACAACACAGGCACTGATTGCTAGGAGCAACTCAACACAGATGGAAAACAAACAAACAAGCCAGCAAGCAAACATGAAGCAGACAACACAACACAACACACTGAAGCGACGTGAGGGCGCATAAACGACATATAGGAAGAAGGCAACAGCAACAGGAATAGAAGACGTGGTAGCAGCCGCGCCAAGCACGAAAGAAGCGGGAACAGACGACACGCGTGGTCGTCGCACGGTTTCACATGTGCTGGCTGCTGGCTGCCGTTGCATCTGCGGCTGTGCGCTCAGCTGTTGGCGGGGTTGTGGACGTGACGGAGCCAATGGCCTTGAAATAGCCGCTGTGAAGCACAACGCGGCTGCCCACCTGTTGGATGAACATGCAGGTGTGCGTTGAGGAGGGACAGAGAGGGAGGGGCGCAAGCGTCAGTGTGTGTGTGTATGTCTATGTATGTGTGTGCATGTGTGTGTGCGCACAGCAGGAACATTGTGCGTGAAAGTGTGCACCAGCACAACAAAACCCCCGATGACGACCATCATCATCACCGTCATTATCACCACCCACGATGACATGTATTGCCAGGGATGTACGCACCTCCACGACCTCCGGCTGGTGCTCGAAGCGAACGGTGGCGCAGACAACGGCGCCGTCGTCATCAACCCCGAGGTGCTCAATCACGCCACTCTGCCGCACATTCTGCACAAACACAGAGCACTGCAGCGTTGTCGGTTGTGTGTGTGTGTGTGCGTGTGTGTTGATAGTGAGTGTGGGAGTGAGCAAGAAGTTAAGAAAGCGCAGACAGAAGCAGACGGAAGCAGTCAGCCAGTCACACACACACACACACATACACGTACACATCCACACACACATACACACGCACACACGCACACATACCGGGAATCCCGTTGTGAGCGTCTGTTTTGCAGGGCAGTCGATGACAAGCAGGTCTGCATCAAACTGCTGGCACGTGGGCGGTATCAACTGCTCGTGTGACAGCCACAGAAGTGGTTGGTGGTGTAGGCGTTGCGAGCACGTGCACATTGTGAGGGCGAATGAGCCACAGACGAAGGATGGACACGAAGCAAAAGCGAACAGGAAGCAAGGGTGAACAGGAGGCGAAAGGGGGGACGAAGCACAATTACGCAGCGGCAAGCAACACACCTCTTCCTCGCACAGGATTTGGCCTCTTCGTATTCTTGCGCCGGAGACGGCAACAGAGGCAACCTGGCCGGCCTATTGTGGTGGCGGCAGCAAAGAGAGAGGTGTTGGTGGACGGTGGTGGTGACGCAAATCCGGACCACTGCACGACGCATAAACATTCAACACACGCAGACATACACATGTACAAAGACACACGCAGACACACACATAAGACACACAGACAGACACACACACACACATACACAGGCAGATACACACACACATACACACATTTACACACGTACCTTGACACACGAGACGGGGGCGCGGTTGCGGTGGATGCTGGTGACAGTGACAGGAGCAAAGCTGCCATCAGCCTGCGGGCCGAGCATGAGGCGGTCGTTTGTGCGGACGAGTCCCTGGCGCACCATGCCGGCAACAACGGCGCCGACGCCAGACACGTTAAACGTGTCCTCCACCAGCATCTTGGCAGGAAGGTGGGACTTGGTCTCGAGACGTATGGAGTTGACGCAGGGAAGGAGGTTCATGAACTGCGACAGTAGGTTCAAGTTCTTGCCCGTCACGTTTGACACGAAGAAGATGGGCACCACGCTGGTGTCGTCAGCATCGAACAGAGTAAGTGGAGGGGCAAAGACGTGAGTGCGTGAGTGACAGGAGCACGTGACACAAGCAGCAGCAACAACACAAACAAAAAGAACGAGACGAATGAGACGAACGACACAAACGACACGAACAACACAAACAGCACGAACAGCACGAGCGAGACGAACAACAAACAGTGGCGGCTTTTGGACGTCATCACAACTGGCACAGCAGCAACAGGTGCTACCGCCAGCACCAGCACCACCGCTGACCTGATTCCCTGGTCGCGGGCTGTGAGGAGGTCATCGACGTTCTTGACGGGCTGCGGCACTTTGTTGCTCCCGGGCGATTTCACCGCAATGCACACCTGCAGCAGGAGGGGGTGGTTGTGATGAGATGGGAGCAAGGGGAAAGACCAGTCAACGCGTACCTTCCATCATTGCATGTGTGTGTGTGTGTGTGTGTTTGTGTGTGTGTGTGTGTGTGTGTGTGTGTGTGTGTGTGTGTGTGTGTGTGTGTGGCGCGATGCGTGGCAGTGGCTGGAAAAATGTGCACGTACGTCGACGAGCGCGTGCTTGAGCTGGTCCTTGCGGCATTTGTCAATCTTTGTGATGACAACAAACACGGGGATGTTGAGGGCAAGCGCCATATCCATGTGTCGCTGAGAAAAAAAAAAAAAAGGAAAGACGGACACACGCGGCGTGAGTGGGGAAAGGGGAGGAAGAGGAAGAGGAGGAGGAGCCAACGAATACAGCACCTGATACAAAGAAGCGCCACGCCACAGAAAGCAACAAACAACAAGAAGGCGTGCACGCAAACTAACATCCCATGCCAAACTAACATCTCATGCCAAACAAACGAACAAACACGCACATGTGCATCCCACCACCTTTGTCTGGCTGGTCATCCCCCGTGTTGCGCTGACGACAATGCAGATGTGATCTGGCCCGTGGCGCGCCAGCCCAGACAACGTCGTCTTCTCATACTGCAGATGCACGATCGAGTTGGAGAGGGGGGGGGGAGGGAGAGGGGGTTGTGACATTGGGGGTGCGAGGTGCAATTTGTATTAACACGCCATCTCACAGACACAGAAACATACCGACACAGACACAGACACGCACACAGGCAGACACAGACACACGCACAGACACAGACACACACACACGCACAGACACATACAGACACACACACACACACACACACCTTCTCGAGCCCGGGCGAGTCGATGAGATGGACAACTTTGGAGGCCTGCGAACAGATGTCCGCAACAGGCTGCGGGTTCAAATCCTTGTCGTAGTTCAGCACATTGCCCTGCCCGTCAAACGCAAGCATCTCCGTGCTGATGTTGCATGGGTGTGTGTGTGTGTGAGCAACAGGGTGCCGTGTGATGGCTACAAATGAACCAAACAAGCAAGCGGCACCGCTTGCAACATGTGTCCATCTCTCCTGCCGGCGCGTCTCTCTGTGCGTACACACGGCTCACCTCGTGGAGGCTGTGCGGCCCGTGACAACCTCGTGGCTGTGGCGAAACAGATCAAGACGCGCCGATCCGCGGCCATTGTCGGCCTTACCGGACGCAAGACACGCAATCACCGTGCTCTTGCCGCTGCCAGAGTCGCCAAGCACAAACACACGCACGTCCACAAACTGCTGGTCCTCGGTGGCCTTGCGCACGTGCACCTCTGCAATCACGCCGTGGCCGTCGAGGCTTGGGCTGCGGCGGAGCAGGGTGAACGTGGCGCCAACGCCGTGGGCGATGGTGGCCAGCGTCTCGAGCGATGCCTCCAGGTCGGCAACGCTCAAGCCATGCAGGGAGCCGTCATCACCGACGCCAATCTACAACACAGCACAAGCAAGAGCGATGTTGTTGTGTGGGCAGTGCAGTCCGCAGCCATCAATCGTCAGAGACGCTGGCGAAGAAATCATGTAAAGGAGGCTGCCACTTCATCTTCGCACATGCAGGGATGTGATGTGCCATGATCGCACGAAGAACATCTCACACAAGACAGCACTAGACTCTGCACACAACACGCACTCATGTCACACACGCACACACATACACAACAACGTCCGACCTGGTAGATGGCTTCGCCGCCACCCTCAGCAAGTCGCCATTTCATCTGGGTGGTGAGGTGAACAAGACGCTCAGCGCTTGGATCAATCAGCTTGAGTTTGTACTCGATGTTGCCTTCCTGGGGCTCGCTCGGCAGCACTTGACGCTCCATGACAACCGTCTGCTTCACGTCCTCCATAAGCGGATGGCGAACTGCCACGAGGGCCGCCATCAGTGAGGTGGGGGAGGAGAGCACAATGGAGGGCTCTGTGCAAGCGCGCGCACACACAGACACAGACAAACGGACACACAGACAGACACAGACAGACAAACAGACACACACACACACAGACGCACACAAACAGACACACACAGACAGACACACACACACACACAGACAGACAGACACACACACACACACACACACACACACACACACACACACACACACACACACACACACACACAAACACACCTTTGAGCTCTGTGGCGAGTGCATGGGGCACCACTTGGTGCGAAGATATGGGATCAGGCTCTTGAGTCATTGTGATGGTGTGGGCTCAAAACGAGAGCCGCGCGCACACACAGGACCCAACAAAAGGGGGGCAGATACAAATGGATAACACGGGGGTGTGACCAGCTCAACAAAGAAGGATGATCGTCAATGTGGAATCAGTCACTGTATTATCATTGTGTCGGACGGCTTGAACAAGGTTTGGGGAAAGAGGAGGAGGAGGAGGAGAGGAGATGTCCAAGGTGAAGCACCACGCAGTTGGCAATGGCGATGGCAGAAGGTGGAAGAAGAACAAGTCGCAGCAGAATGCGGTGTTCGTTCACGCACTCAGGTCCGTTTTGATGTTGCTTTGGGCACAGTGGAGTTGGTGTATCGTTGTGGTGAACGCTGATGAGAATGAAGATGATGTGGATTGGGGGAGGATGGCAGTGTGGTTGGTGGGGATGGATGTCGTAACAACTAACTCCCACCTCATCGACCAAAGAAGCAAGAAGCGCGTCGTCAGTTACGACGTTTGACATGAGCGAGCAACTGACGTGGCTCTCGACATGCAGCAGTTGTCATTCAGCCACGCCCAACAGGAAAACACAAACAAGCAACTTTTATGGTGTTGGGAACGAAAATGTAACAGGGCGGTGGTGGTGGTGGATCTTGTGTCCATCGACATTCATGAGTGAGCAGCAGCAGTGTCGCCCTGTTTCGTCGTCGTCTCAACCACACCGCACCACACGGAGGAAGATGATGTAACAGCAGCAGCAACAACAGCACAACAACAGCAGCATGGATGGATGGATAACGCAGTGAAAACAACATGCAAGTAACATGCAACAGAACAAGAAGCAAGCACACTCAATCAAGATTGTGACGCTTGCTTCCTTTCTACACGACAAGCTTGTGCACATGCATGCGTGCGTGCATACAGACAAACAAAACAGAAAGGGGCGCGGGAACAGCAAAGAAAGAAGGACCAGAACCATGAAGGAACAGGGAAAGCAACCCCTTCCCCTTCTCTGTCTGTCTGTCTCTGTCTCTCTTTGGCTGGTTGCTTCAGTCAACGAAGGACAGGCGAGCTAGACGAGGAAGGTGAGTTCCTCGCTCGGGTTGTCGTCAATGACATGCGGGTCTGCCTCCAGCATCTTGCGGTATCCTTGCCGCACCGTCGTGTCAATCACAGCGTCATCCACGTGGCGCCGCGTGAACAGCCGCTGCTGCTCGATGCCCTGTGCAATGAGCATGTCGATGCCGCCAAAGATACGGCACCCGGCAGCGTGCGCCTGCTCAAGCAGCGGCGTCATCCGCGGAATGTACGTCACGTCAAACACAACCGGCCTGCAGGCACGGGCGTGTAAAGGGGAGGGGGTGGGTGGGGTTGGTGTGAGAATGCAAGTAGATGCACGCTCAAACACGTCGTTGCCAGCACAGGCAACCATGAGTGTCTGCAGTTTCTCGTGCTTCTCCCACACACACACACGCACGCACACACACACGCAGGTACACAGAAAACACGCACAAAAGCACGTACGCACGCATACGCACACGCACCCACACATACGCACAAAAACACGCACGCATGCATATGCACACATGCACAGATATCTCTGCACACACGCACGCACGCACATGCACACACGTGCACACACACACACACACACACACACACACACACACACACACACACACACACACACACACACACGCACACACACACACATGCACACACGTGCACACACACACACATGCAGATACACACACACACAACATACAAACAAAACGCGAAACGCACTTGGACTGGAGGAGGGTGGCGGGGACAGTCGCTGCGGCCGTTGGCGGGAGCGTGCTGATGATGAGGACCACATCGTCAAGGGCCTCAGCGCTGTCGATTGCGCGAACACCAAAGTCGCGGCACAGCGCCTCGGCTCGCTCGGGCGTCCGGTTCACCACATACACAGAGGTAAACCCGAGGTAGTGCAGCGCGTAGCACGCGGCCCGCGCCGTGCCGCCAGCACCAAGCACAAGCACGTTCCCCGTACGCTCCCGTGTCTCCGCGGGCATGGCAGACTGCAGCGGCTTCACAATGCCAACCCAGTCCGTGTTGAAGCCCAGCAGCTGCGTGTTGCCTGCGCCACCGCGAACCACCGTGTTGACGGCGCCAATGCGACGCGCGTGCTCGTCCATCCAGGCAAGCAGCGGCAGCACGGATTGCTTGAACGGCATCGTGACGCTCGCCCCCATGAAGCCTTCGCTGGCAAACACGGAGCGCACATCCACCATGGACGTCGTGTCGAGGCGCTCGTATGTCCACGGCAGCCCAGCGAGCCGGAACCCCGTGCGGTGCATCAGCGGCGATGGGGACAGCGCCACGGGGCTGCCGACAATGAAGAAGGAGCGTGGGCGAAGCAGCCCCAGCGTGCGGCGGAGCCGCAGCACTTGCTCCCACGTGAGCTGCCCTGGGGCGGCAGTGCCGGGCATGTTGGCGTGCGTGACGGGCGTGAGCATGGTGTTGGTGACGCGGGACAGCCGGCCCTGCTCGCCCATCAGCAGCAGGATCATGGGTTTCGTCACCACCTTCTCCGCATGCACGCGCTCCCGCGCCTGCTGCAGCAAGAAGCAGTCGGACACCTCCGTCGCCGTGAACACAATCTTGATCACGTCCACAAAGGGCAGATTGCTCCCTTGCACCAGCGTGAGCACCTCGTCCACGTGGGTGCACGGCCGCCCAAAGTGCTGCGACATGACAATGGTCGTCCCACGCAGCGGCGCGCACACGCTCTCAATGTGGCTCGAGTCCCAGCACGTCTCCACGTCCAGGGCATCGCACCCCAGCCGCGCCCCGAGCGACAGCAGGTTGAAGTAGCCGTCCTCGTCCAGGGCCAGCTTGCCGCCTTGCTTGGCAGAGCGCACCGTGAACAGAATGGGCTTGGCCGTGGATGCCCGCAGCAGGGCAATCTGGCCCGCAATGAAGGCGGCGTCCGTGGGTTGGTCAAGGAGGTCCACGCGAAGCTCCACCATGTCCACGTCCGCAACGAGGGAGGACAGGTCCTTGATGGTCGACAGGTCGCCAAACGTCAGCGACAGGAAACACGAGTCGTCGCGGAGCGGCGCAACGTGCTTGGCGACAACCACCCCGCAGAAGCGAGAAAAGCAGGCCGTGGTGTGTGCAATGTCGCTGTTGCCGCGGGCGATTGGGAACCAGTGCGTGCTGAGCGCCTCATAGTGGGGCCTGCGCTGCTGGTACACGGCGACAACTGGCGATGTGTAGCCGGGCCGCGTCGTGTCGGCCTCCAGGTAGGCGACAATGTCGTCAATGTGCCGGTCAATCCAGGCAATGGGGAGGCGGCTGCCTGCAAGCAATTCGCGACAGGCGGGCGTCTCGACAACGCCGCCCCCGCACGACACCACCGTGTTGTACGCGTGCTGCTCCAGTGCCTCCTCCAGAGCAGCCTGCTCCTGCTGCCTGAACTCATCCCACCCGCGCTCCTCAATAAACGCGGGGATTGGCCCGTGCTTCTCCTCAAACAGGTCGTCCAGGTCGATAAAGTCGTAGCCAAGGTACGCGGCCGCTGCCCGGCCTAGCGTCGTCTTCCCTGCCCCACGCATCCCAATCAGCACCAGGCTGGTCGCCAAGAGGCCAAAAGGAAGGAGGAGGGAGAGAGGGAAGGGGTGGGGTCGGTGCATTCGCGCGTGTTCGCGTTTGTGTATGCGTGTGTTTTTGTGTGAGAGCGGTGACTGAAAAGTTACAGGAACCAGGAACTTTGGAACACTTGCACGTGTGCATCATGAACACACACACACACACACACACACACACACACACACACACACACACACACACACACACACACACACACACACACACACACACACACACACACACACGCACGCACGCGCGCACACAAAAACAC